GCACATGTCATCGCAGCCCGGCTACAACGAGCGCCTCTCGTTCATGAGCCACCTCTGGGAGCCCCTGCGCGCGGAGTACCGCCCGCTGCTCTTCTACATCGGCATGGAGATCGTCGCGATCTGCACGCGCCAGATCATGGCCTCCTACGGCTTCCGGCGCCACGAGCTCGGGTGCCTGACTTACTACACTTATAAGGTCAAACCCGTGGTCAGCCTCGGCCCCGCGGCGGCGCTGGCGCTCGCGCAGCAGCAGCGGGCGGCGGCGGCGGCGGCGAAACGCGGCAGCTCCGGGAAGGCCGGCGGCGGCGGCGCTGACTGGACGCCGTTTGCGGTGCAGGATCTGAACAACCCGCTGAACGCGGCGGTGCCGCTGTCGAAGGACATGCCCATAGTGTTTTGCCATGGTGTGGGGGGGCTCAGCCTGTACCTGGAGATGATCAAGTGAGCCGCGTGGTGGGGGGGATCGATGCCGGTGGGGGCGGGCGGATTCAAAACGACAGACAGATCACCCTCTGATGCTTGCTGCGTCGGAAGGGGCCAGCAGCTGGGATGTGGGTGATTGAAGGGCACCGCCGGTTCGAGGACGAAGCAGGCAAGGCGGCAGGTCGCACATCAGTGGCGGGTTACTCATCCAGAAACCCCAAATTGGCCCCTCGGCTACCGGCAGGTACATCCTTGATCTGGGCCACCCGGTGATCTGCCTGGAATACAAGCACGTGAGCCTGCGGCTGACTCAGCGCATCCCCACGATCGATGACGTCATCACCGACGTGGTGGCCATCCTCGACAAGTTTGACATCGGGCGGTGCGCGGCAAGCGTGGCCTGGGAAGGGGGGGCGAGTTGTCTGTTGGTGGCCTGGCGGGTTTGGTCGCATGTGTGCGTGCGTGAAAGAGAGAGAGAGTGTGTGTGTGTTGGGGGGTGAGGTTGTGGGTGTGTGGGCGCGTGCCCGCGTGAGTGAGCTATGTGTACGCTCGCTTGAATGCGCTCATCACCCCAGATGGGTCTGCGACAAGAGCCGCGCCGCTGCCGCCACCCTGACCCCGCCCCCCTGCAACCGCGGCCGTCCCACCCCCTGCCCCCCAAGGGCGTGCGTCGTGGGCCACAGCTACGGCACCTTTGTCGGCTCCCGGCTGGTGCAGCAGCACAGGGACCGCGTCCACACGCTGTGCCTCATCGACCCCGTGTGCTTCGGCATGTTCATGCCGCACCTCCTGCACAACTTCATCGTGAGTCTCTTCGGGAAACAGGCACTGAGGTCCGCGCTGCGCGCCTGCATGTGCGCGTGCAGGGCCTGCACGGGCCTCTTTCGCAGGCCCATCGCTGCCCAGCAGCAGCATCCTCGCCGCACGTCGGCCCACCCGCTGCCACCGCAGCCGGGCCCGCTGATGCCGTGCGCACACACCCGACGAGTCCAACCCCTGCCCGCCCCCTCCCTAAGGTCCTCTGCATAAGGTCGGCCTTTCTGCTGTCCCACCCAGCTCAAACCCCCCCCCCCCTCACACACACACACATTCACTCGCACCGCGTCCCACCGCGCCCTCCCCCCGCAGTACCGCCGCCCGCGCCTCAACGTGTGGCAGCCCGACGTGCTGCTGCGCGACCTAATGCTGTACTTCGCCTCCCGCGACCTGCACCTGTCCGCCACGTTCGCGCGCCGCTTCTACTGGAGTGACATGAACCTGTGGCCGGAGGACATGCCGCCGGGCAGCGTGGTGCTGCTGTCCGGAAATGATGACCTGGTACACGCGGACGAGGTCCGGCTCATGCTGGAGCAGAGCGGCAGCCACATAAAGGTGGGGCTGAGGAAGGGGGGTGTCGGCCGACAGAATCGCGGGCGCTCGGGCCGGGAGCGGCGCGCTGAGCGGGAAAAGGCGGCTCTCGGGGCGCCCGGCGGTGGTCAACAGGCGTCCAGGGCCGCTGGCCGGCAGCGAGGGAGCGCCGACGCGGCGACGCCCGCGGCGGCCAGGCGCCGCGTTGCGGTGACCGCGGGCAGGGTCCCACGGCGGTGTGCGAAAAGCAGGGGGGGTGCACTGACTGTGGGACTGGTCGCTGTTAGCGCGACGGGGCCCCGCAGGAGTCCCCAAAGAACGCCCTTGACCCGTTCCCCGTTTCCCCTGCGTTTGCATCCCTGCAGGTCATGTACAATCCCCACCTGTGGCACGGCGCTTTTTTGCTCGACCCCGAGGTTAAGAAGGGCCTGAAGTCCGAGATCCAGGGCATGCTGGCGCGGACAGGGTCGCTCGCCTACCGCCTCACAAAGCCGGTGGTGCAGCGCACCGCGCACATTGTGCAGACGGCGCTGTCGACAGTGGGTTCGCTGGCGGCCGAACCGAGCGGCCTGCTGGCGGCGCTCTCGGGCAGCATGGTCGGCGGCACCTTCGCCGGCGGCGCCGCGGCGCTGCGGCGCGCCGCGGCGGCGGCTGCGGCGGCGCGCGGGGAC